TGAAAGTTGGTTCCCCAAAATAGGAATCAGGTGAAAGTTGGTTCCCCAAAATGACGATTTTGAAAGTTTGTTCCCCAAAATAGGAATCATGTGAAAGTTGGTTCTATTTTGGTGCAATTTTCCCTTTGGAAAATGGTGAGTTCGGCCCCAAATAATTGCCGCTTGGTGAGCGTGCAATCTGTTTTGGGGGCTGTGTAATTCAAGGTTATAGGGTAATGATGAGGAATTTAAAACTCAATCAAACTTCTTGATATTTGGAATAGTCGGTTGATGTCACTATTTTAATTGATGTGACAAGTTGGACATAAAATAACTTTTGGAAGGTTTCTACCTTTAGAGTCTTGTGAACCCCAAGAATTCTTGGAACAGAATGTATAATTTGTCCAAAATTCAGCTTTTGAGTAAAAGATTTTGATTTCTTTTATTTTGGACTATTATTAGTTTATTAATAAAATATCAACTTTATTTCCTAAAACCCGATGACATTACATAGGGTGCAACTTGACTCTATTTCGTCTAGAGTTCATAGGAGATCTGAATGTGAGATGTTGGTCTATTTAGGAAAAAACAGGGTAGACGTTGAGGGCTTCAGACTTCATTTCCTCGGATATTCATCATCAAACCAGTGAGTTCTCGCGGCCCCACTTTTAATGCTTTGTTTATTGTTTTGGGGGAAAAGCGTGAGATTAAGCAAACTATGCATGTTACTTGTTTGAAACCATTGGACTAAGGAACTGCTTAGTCAAGTTTTGTTTGAAACCATTGGACTAAGGAACTGCTTAGTCAAGTTTTGTTTGAAACCATTGGACTAAGAAACTGTTTAGTCAAGTTTTGTTTGTAACCATTGGACTANCTTAGTCAAGTTTTGTTTGAAACCATTGGACTAAGAAACTGTTTAGTCAAGTTTTGTTTGTAACCATTGGACTAAGGAACTGCTTAGTCAAGTTTATTATGTCATGAAATATTGACTGTTATTGCACTTTGAAATAAATGCTAAATTGATGTGCTTGGGAGTATATTTTCCAAATAAAGTCCTCGTCCGTAAACGCTACTTGTTAACTCAGGTACATCCCCGGGCCGTGGTATTGTGGATAGTTGCTATTGTGTTGACAGTCCCACCCAGAAAGGGATGCACATGACCTATGTTTTCTTGTCTAATCATGTGGAATTTGGACCACCGCTGAATTAGTACATCTACGAACTGTGGGACCTAAGTAAGTGTACGGGCTACTTTTGGTCGTTCGTAACATAATGGGGCAAGTTGGTCAAGTAAGGCTCAGTAGCGTCTCAAGTTTTTACATCGTGGAATATTTACATTTGTTAAGTGCAAAAGATTCGCATAAGTTTGCAAATATTTGGTTTATACATTAAAATGTTTTATGCATGTGAAAACCCGTGAGCTCACCAACTCTTTTTAGTTGACTCATTTTATGTTCCATGTTTTTCAGGTAACAAGTAAGAAATGAAGTATTTTGGGAGCATACTTGTGGAAAAACTGATTAAGTTCGCATTGGAAGCTTTTGTAAATGAAGTATTTGTTAAAATTTGGTTATGTCATTATACTCTTTTATTTTGAAAAAGTTTAAAAAGTGTTATTTATTAATTGTTGTTGTGACTCGCTTGTCTGTTAAATCTCGTGTTTCCGCTTTAGCGGGGTGTGACAATAAGTTTACTGATTTTTAAATTGTTTTAGCCAGTTTCTTTTAATTTCATTCATAATCAATGAAATACAGGATAACTGCCTCAAAATAAAGCTAACTTTGACTTAATTATATTTTGAAAGAACTATTTCAGGAAAAAAAAATATAGTACAGATAATTTGATCATTAATTAATGATTGCTATAACTTTTATTTATTAGATGAGATTTCAATTTCTTCGTTTATTCTGTGCTTTGCTTTTCTTTTTTGGTTTTCATGTACTCGTTCAACACCTTTATTTTTTTTGTTTCTTAATATTGAGTACGAAAACTATCTCAAAAATCAAGAAACAATATATTTATAAAAAAGTTTCACGTGCCCCATACAGCTCGGATCAAAGCGTAAGCTAATAAGTCAATGAAACATCATTTGCAATCTAATTTAGTTCAGGAGATTTAACAAAGATTCGGAGAATAAAAAAATGATAATTAATGTAATGTTTTCTTTTACATTCTAATTTAATGTTTCAACTTTTATTACACATTGTGTGTTCAATATTGTTTCTGTTTTTTAATTAATAATTTAAATATATATATATATATATATATATATATAGCCATTTAAGACAAAGTCTTAAGTACAAGTTACTAAACATAAGTTACAATGGTTTTATGCAACAAATTCAAAAAACTCTTAATTACCAAATATTATGCATAAGGTACAAGTTTTTTATGCAAAGGGTTTTAAACCCACAACTCCAAAACCTAATCGRAAGCTTTCTACTGTGCTTTCTCTCTTGCAGTCTTCTACACATTCTTATTTCAGTATCCCATCTGCACTCAAACAAATTTGGGTATAATAGAGATGCTTTCTTCCTTGACTCACCTCGAACAGGATAACCTTGTGGTTTTGATGTATCACCTCGAACAGATGTTCAATTTGCTTTCTTCTCTCACATTCTTCGAAAACAATTTCTCGTATCAAACCGATTTGATGTATCACAACCTCGTCGATGCATATAAGTCCCTCCTCCCTGATGTTTTAATTTCACAGGTTCTTCAAAACCCTAGAGATTTCCATTTCAATTTTAATTTGGAGGTATGCTCTTCAAAACCCTATTGATTTCGATTTCAAATTTGATTAAGATTTCCATTTTAGAGGTGATTTTGAATTCCATTTCAATTTTGCTCTTCAGTTTTGTTTAGAATCGATCATGAGATCGTTCTATGCTTAGGCTCGTCTGATCGGTATGTGGACTCTACTTGCCATCACACTTGCATGTGAGTCATTCTTCTTTTTTTGGTACATTTTGTGCATTTTTATGGTAATTGATCTATGTTGTTTGAAATTGTTGGTGGACGAACTGGACCAGTGCAATTAGAAAGTGGGCAAAGATGTTGATTGAGCTTCTACAACTACCAGACATTCAAATGGATCAAGAGAATTTCATGTGGTTGATGGAAGGTCAAAACTACTGGCCTATTTTCCCTTAAGCAAAGATATATTTCAGTTGCAATTTCATGAGAAGAAAAAGAAGTGGGTTCTGAGTTCTAACCAAGGAAAAAAAAGCAAAGAAAAAAGTTACCCTTTTATTTACTTTGATGAACTTTGTTGAAGTGTTATTCAAAAATGAACTTAATGGATGGACATATGTTGGTATCATCATCTATTCGATCTATATAAATATAAGCATTGTTGATATCTATATCAATATTCGATCTACAAGTCTGCATATATTGTTGCTTAATAAAAAAAAATATAAGCATTGTTGATATCTATATCAATATTGGATCCTTGTGATGACTTTGTTTGACCACTGAAGACAAACTTACCTCTGACTGATGAGGCCAGGGGCAGGGGTGTAATATATTTTCTGTGAGGCCACTCTTCATATGTTCCACCATGCATAAAGTTAAGATTGGTGTTTTATTGGTTTTAAATAATTTTTAATATCATGTTTCATATAATATAGCACATATATGCCCTGTGCACAAATTGCAAGATTTATTTAATTAATATGGCCTAAACTATTAATATCATTATATATATAAGTTTATTAATCCATAATTATTCTCTTATTATTAATTATTCCCA